AAGGGTTGAGGAAGGGTGAATCTTCTTGAATATAAGCAGTTCTGCCTTTTCTACATCAAAATTTCCCTTAAATATATTACATTTTTAGCATTTGATTAACAATTATCCTGACACATGATAATTAATCTGGTAGAATAATCCATTGGAGAAAAGACTTCCCATGGAGTGCCAGAACATAATAAGGTCATTGATCACTTTGTCAGTGCTGTAAACAAGTATTTCAAATGTCTAAGTGGGAATACAAGGAAAAGTGATGTATTAGGGAGGCAGTGCTCATACTGTCAATTGCCTGAAGGGGTGAAATGCAAAGAATACTAACCCTGCTGATTGAGAACAATAATCCTGGTCTATCAGAGCAGATTCCAGTGAAGCAGAATCTAAGCTTCCAGTAAAATAAGTGCTCCCAGACAAAGGTAATTAAACTGAGTGCCATGGCTGCTGCAAGCATGTAAAACACTCCTGCCATGTTGTCAATATCCAGCTGGCTGCTCATGACTTCGTTCTTCTCATTGTGACAAATACCAGTCAGCCACAGGGTTTCTAACTCTTCCATTTCACCTAGGGAGAGCCAGGAATCAAAACCATTAGAATGCAAAAAATTAATTGTCACAATACTAGAAAGTCTTCACAAACTGAAAAACACAGCACCTTTTAATGCCTCATTTGTGAAGCTTCATTTGTGAACCTTCTTAAAGACCTTACATTCCATGTGCCTACATGTGCACATGCTTTCCATCCACACATCCCTTACGTATTTTTGCAAACCAGTCTCCTAACTCGGTCAGATGGTCTTGGATGTTAAAACACAGAAAACCCAATCAAAAAAGATTAAATGACAAATTATGAAAACCAGCATAAGTGATAACAGCAAGGTTCAGCATTTGGCTGCTCTGGATGCCACACTGTGCCATCACTGCCACAGTTATCAATCACATTTCCTCTTGTACCTGGCTGCATTTCACTAATACCTAAACTGATATAGAGATTTTGTTTTCAATCACTTCCTTATTTACAAGCACTTTAGAAAGAGAAGATGCAATTTGTCAAAACTCTGTGGGTTTTCCACCAAATAGCTTTATGGCAAAGCAATGGCAGTCACCAACACTGGATGCAAAGTTACCCAAAACACAACATTTACAGGTCACACTGATGTAAATCCGGGAATGTGAAGCAGGATATTGTAACCCAGCCTGTACACACAGGGAGTGAGGAAATACAAGCGTCATTAAAAAATTCTACTGGGTTTCATAAACTGCCTGCTTTTGTAGAAAACAGCATGCTGACATGAATGCTTAAATGCATGCAGTATGTCTTCCTGTTTACGTTTATTTTTGTCTCTCTCAAATACAGACCTTCTTCATGCTTTCTGTTTTCCCTGCTTCCAGCCAGAAACCTGGGTGCTGCATGGACTGCAAACACTCTCCCTGTCCCATGCTTCCTTCCAGTTTCCCTTTGGCTGAGCCCCACACACCTCTCTCTGCTGCCCACCTCACCAGCTCTCCCACTGCAGTCTCCTTTGGCCTTTTGCTGCTGCCTCCTGAGCAGCAGCAGGAAAATAAACAGCACCACCATGTTTGAAACAGAGCAGTCCCATTTTCTGGTTCTGGCTACAACAGCATCTTACTGTAATTAAACCATTTACTTTACTTAAAACTAAAGAAGCAGATCAGCTCCCTCTCATTGTTAGTCTTAGCATCTGTATTTCCCAGAAGAGATTTGGCCTTCAATGAAGGATGCTATCATTTAGCAGCAGCTGCCAACATGGACAGAGATGTGCAAGAAATTGCATTTGTTACTGCAAAGATTGTTTTTTTTAATATTGTATCATACGATATTTTCACACACTATTGCTGTTCTACTTACTGTAGCATTGCAGATGCACACATACATCTTTTTACCCTCTCGGGAATATAGTCAGCTGAGTAAATCTATTATTATTTTTAATAATAGGCATAAATTTCTGTCTACATAATACTGCAGGCAATAGAGAGGGCCAAACAGTTCAGGATATGGCTTCAATTTGGGGGAAGAATTCACATGCTATTGATCCCTAATCCTTACTGAGGGATTAGGAAATGCATCTTCTGTATTGTAATCCATACAGCATTGGAGTAAAGATCAGGAAAAAATGGCTAAAAGCTATACTGACTTTTCAGCTACCTTCAAGCTAGACTAAAAGATCAATGACTTGCTGTGCAAGAGAATTTTAAAAGGATGGAGTGCCTGGGCAACAGGAAAGCTGCAGCCCACAGATAATTTGGATGTGTGAGTTGGAAGCGGAAAGCAAGTCTGCAATGGAGAAATGGGTTCTCAGAGAATGTGAAGGAAATACTGAAGCAGAATAGACAAGCACTGGGGCATTTTAGGAAAGGCATTTCACAAATTTGCAAGAGATTATTCAGTTTCGAGTTAATTCTGAGTTTAGTTTTGTGCTTGTAGCATGAATTGAACCTCTACACCTGAAAAAGGCCGTATGACTTCTCCCAAATTACAGTGCTCAATCTTCAAAACTCCTCAGCACATCCCCTAAGAAGAAAGTCAATTTTATGAATATTTAAAAGGCTTCTAAACCAGGAAATAAGCACAATAAATTATTAATTGTAACCATATGGATATTGCACAATCAGTACATAGCTATTTGGGGGTCGTTGTGCACTTCTACATCTTGGAACATCTGGATTTGTTTGGTATATATGTACACATGCTAAACCTCAATGCACTATTCGCTTTGTCCATCTTTCAAGCCCTCCCCAGGGTCTATGAATAAAACTCACAGGCAATGGAACAGAAAAATATTCAAGTCCAAAGACAGTGATATTTCTGGTTTGGGCATTTGTAGCTGAAGCTCTGACAATCAGCTCTCGTTATTTCCCACAAGAAAATGCACATCTCCCAGGATTGTCAAACATCAATTTGATTTGACTGCTGTGCCCTTTTACAGTTCATAACAAAATTCAGGGAGGACTTTAAACCTCTTTTTCATTAGTTTCCCATGTGTTTCTTCCCTTTGGCTTGTACATCTGAAGTGACTATTGATAATCCACTAACCTTTCCAAAAACATCACTGCGGAAACAAACCGGGCTTGTTTGAGTTGAGACAAGTAGCAGCGCCCTGGTAAGCTATGAAGAACAAAGCATCCCAGGGTCTCACAGATCCTGCTGTTATAACAGCCCTTTCATTAGATCTGATAGTGACAGAAATGACTGTTAATTAGTAGCTAAAAGTAATGCAGTGCAATTTTCTAGATCATAAAGCACTGTGAATCATTGGACTGTCATGTTTATTAAATGATATTATCTAGGAGTGGACAGATTAGGCTGGCATTGTAGTGTATGCATCTATAAATCAATCATTTCCAGTGTGTGTGTATATACACACATGTACACATGTGTATACATGCAGACACGCAGAACAGTTACTCCTTTAGCTGTAATAACACTTTGGCACAGCTGATTCTACAAAACTAGCAAAAAAAAAAAAAAAGCCTGATCTTTTTGTTGCCCCTCTTGTCCATTATTTGTTTTATATCCAAGATATTGATAGAATTGTTCCAGATTTCAGTAGCAAAGTACATCATGACACTACTATGTAGATTATAGCATGTTAGCTATATGATAGAATAGCACAATATAATAATGCTTTATAAGATATATATATATAACAATGCTATATAACATAGCATTATGGCACAAGACTATAAAATGAATGGTTCCAATATATTCGATAAAATAAAAAACAAAAAACAAAAACAAAACTAGTGTTAGTTTCTATTTAACATGGTCACAGTACAGCTCCCCTGCAAAATTCATAGATAACTGGTGCCTACAGTAAGATATATATAAATATTTTAATTTACATAGCCATATATTACATAAGGTCTGCCTCATTTACAATGTAAGACTCAGTGTAAGCAATTATTATGTTATTTTTTTTTTTTAATCTCAGTGGTACTGGGGGGCTGCATTACTCACTTACAATGCAGTATGGCCCTCTCAAACAAACTGCAGAATTCTAGCTCTCAGTGGCAGTTCAAGACTATTTACAAAGTTTTTGCAAACAATAGAAAGGTCCCTGTAAATTTCTCTCGCGTTGGTTTCTATGTCTGTGGTGTGCTTTGCTTTGGCTCTATTTACACAGAAACAGCTGTTTGGCTGTGCTGACTCTGAACATCCCAGAAGTGCTTTTCTGTCTACATTTAGTGCAACACCTCTAGCTTATCTGACAAGAAAAACATTATCCAGACGCAGACAAGATACAGATCAAAGGGTAGAATTACACTTTTCCTCATCACAGCCTTTAGCCTTTTTTGTATGCTCTGACCCTTCTGCTATCCTGTCTGAGCTGAAAAGCACGCTCCCCTTCTGCATCTTGTATCACTGCCCCTTTCCCTAGAGAAATGTCAGGGTGCTTTCTGGGGCTGCTAGAATCTCCATTCCTGGCTCAACCTCTTGCAAGGCCCTGCCATCATTTCTTGGTTCTCAGCTTTGTTCATTAAACACCTTCCCAAAAGAGCCAGCACCTTCCCAAATGATGGCCCAACATGCTTAAAGCTGTTTGCCTTATGGAATGTTTCACTGGCGCTATTTTTTCTTCTGAGTGTTTCATCCCCCACATCTATACCTGCAACCAGGAAGAAGCACACGTACTAATAGTCACATTATTTATCAAAAGCAAGCAAACAAACAAAAAGCCCCTCTCATGGTTCTATGATTTTTGGTTTGGCCCCACAAACCAAGCCTACATAAGCCATCATTCTCCACATTCACTTACAGAAAAGTAGTTTGGGAGTAACTTTTTCTTGTTTGTTTTTTTAGGGGAAAGAACAGCTTTTCAACATTTGTCTGATGTGTTCCTCCTACTTGGTTAAAAGAAAAAAATGCTTCATTATCACTCAAATAGCTCCCTAGTTAAAAACTTGCCAGAAATAAACAAGCACAAAGTTTTATAATTACATCCAAAAAGAGAACAAAAAATGATGATAACCTTCTTTGCTGCTTACTTAAAAAGTAAGTTACAAAATTAACTTGCTGTTCCACTTCAGTGAAGGAAACAGGACTTCTGAAATCTGAGCATCCTCCCCCCCTTCTTCCTGAGGATACGAGCATGGAGAAAAGGGACAGAGTGCAGAATCTAACCCTGTATCTTCCTGATGCCAAAACCAATGTGTTCTTCCATAGCTCATAAATAGCAGACACCAGAAGTGCTGCAGCCCTGCTAATGCCTCCATCTCTATGCAGACACAGAGCTTTCACCCTCCTCCCCAGAATTGCTGAACAGCACCACCTCAGCTACTGCAGTTGTGGGGAGAGCTTTAGCCTGGTAGAATCACCCCAAAATTGAAGCATGATTTCCTTTCTGTGATTTTCACTCTTGGGAAGCAAGCCAAACCTGGGCTGGATTTTAATGTGACTTGGGAACACAGCCAGACTAACCACAGACTCGTGGCAGTCCAAAATATCACACACAAGTCCCAGGCACTGCATGCTTTTAGAAGCTGTGCTGCATTCAGCCAGCTCCTGGCGGGGAGCAGGCAGTAGCAGAAGTTTGAACAGGGTGT